CAATCTCCACAGTGATCATATGTAATCTCAGACCCTGGCACCCAGCCCACCTCCTAATCTTTTTGATTAAAGATTTCCATTTGCCTCCACCCCACCTTCCTTTCTACCCATCCCACCAGCATTATCAGGTAGCAGAAATATAGTCAGTGAAATCACAACAGCTTCATCAAGAACTGGGTATACTCTTTTAGACTAGGTAGAGACCCTACTCCACCAAGCCCGAAGGGAAGGAGTCTTAAGAGAAGACGTGCCTTGGGATTAAGGTGGAAAGCTCTATGGTTCTTTGGGTTTTGCTGCTGAGCTGGTGCTTCACGATCTGCAGATAACCAGGATCAGCTGAGATCCTTGGAGTCTTTAGGATTAACCTGAGGCTGCTGGAGAGTTGTGCTATGCTTGGGCACATGGGCAATCTGGGGAAAGGTGGACAATCATGCCCACATTTGCCAGGGGGGAGTATCCTTGGCAGTTTCTTGGCATTTCTGGGCACATAGTGATTGATGATTGAGAGGAACTTCATGCTGTAACAGAAAGACCCTTTACACTCTTGGTGTTTTTGCTGTTCTTTGAAGAAAAAAGTTACCATAGACATTTAGGGATCTTTTGATCATTTGATAGATTGTTGGAGGGTGGGGAGAGATTCCTAGCTTTCTCATATACCTAAAAAGACAATTACAGATAAATTTAACAAAGTATCTGGTCAAGGCAGTGGGTAAATGTTTATACCAAAACACTTAGTTTATGGGTGTTTATATGGTATTCATTCTGTTTATATCCTTAAGAAATAATGGTCCACATATATTTGTTGGTTATCTATAACATTATATATACACATATATGGATATATGATTTTGAAAGAGGGATATTTCGTCTTTTTTTTTTTCAAATCCTATATAGTACTGTATGAAAGTTTCCTTCCTAATTTTTCCCTCTAAGTCTCTCAGGTTACCCAAACCCATTAAAATAAAGTAAAATGAATTATAGAAATTAGTTTTTTTTCCTATTAGGGGTTTCACATATCTGATGCTATCTAAAATCTTCTCTTAGCTCTCTACTCCCTTTTCCACTTGTAGTATAAAAAACATTTAATCATCTTCTAAATTTAGGATAGTATAAGTGACAAGATGTATGATTATGGATTTGGATTCAAATCTTATATCTCTTCCTGATAACTTGTAAGGTCTGAGAAAATTCAGGAAACATTGATGGGAGGTAAATACATATTTACTAATATATTTGTCAAGAAATTCTTTGGGTTATTATAGGTGAATGTTATAATGACATAACTTTGTGGCTATATATATGACTCCTTGTATGTATATATAGGTTTGTACAGATTGGGTATATTTAAGCTAAAGCATTACTAATTGGTCTTTATTTTTGTGTTGACATGTAGAACTTAATGTGTTCATTTCTCCTTTGGGGAGAGTATTTTGGATAGATTTGCTTATGTAATTTGTGCATTTTTATAACCAAAGTTAAATTTAAAAAATAACTGTTATTAGTTTTTAGGAGTAAATGTAAGACATGCCCATTAAAAAAAATAAGCATAAAGAGGTATATAAAATTAAAAGTCAAGTTTTCCCTTCATGTCCTGAAATTCTTCATCCAAATCTCACCCCTCAAGGAAAATAGCTATTAGCAGTTTATTGTATGTATCCTGCTAGACTTTTCTCTATGACGAGGTAAAGTTTTAATTTTGACACTGGTTTATTTGCCATTTCTATAAAGAATTTAGTTTCTCAATTAGAGCAAGTTTATGTAATAAAGTTCTTGGATCTGTCTGAAACATTTAAAAAACTGAAATAAAGGACAATCAAATACTAAAGTTATGAAAAAGTATAAATTTAAATATCTGCTTTAAAGAAAAACAGACACAGACCAATGGAACAGAATTGAGAGCCCAGAAATAAAGCCACACATATATGGACAACTAATTTACAATAAAGGAACCAAGACTATACACTGGAGAAAGGAAAGTCTCTTCAATAAATGATGTTGGGAGGTTAAAGAAGTACGAATTAGTAGTTGAGAGACGGTCAGAGGATGAGCACAGCATTGAGAATGTAGTCAGCAGTAATGTAATGACTATGTGTAGAGCCAGGTGGGCAATAGAGCAATCGGGGGGTGGGGGGAGGGATTATTTCATATAAATGTCTAACCAATGTACTGCATACTTGAAACTAATAATGAAATAAAATGTGTAAAAAAATAAATGGCGTTGGGAAAACTGGACAACAACATACAAAAGAATAAAACTAGACCACTATATTATACTACACACAAAAATTAACTTGAAATGGATTAAAAACTTATCTGTAAGACCTGAAACAGTAGAATGATAATAGAGGAAAACATAGACACTAAGCTTCTGGACATTGGTCATAGTGGTGTTTTGTGAATTCGAGTCCAAAAGAAAGGGAGCAAAGCAAAAGCAAATGAATGGAACTATATCAAACTAAAAAGTTTCTGCACAGCAGAGGAAACCATCAACAAAACAAAAAGGCAACCAGCCAAATGGCAGAAGGTATTTGCAAATGATATTTATATATTTGGTTAATATCCAAAATGTATAAAGAACTCATACAACTCAACAACAACAAAAAATCCAATGAAAAAAACAGGCAGAGGATCTGAATATACTTTTTTCCAAGGAAGACATATAGAGATGGCCAACAGGCATATGAAAAGATGTTCAACGCCACTAACTATTAAGGAAATGCAAATTAAAACTACAATGAGTTATCACCTCATACCTGTTAGAATGACTATTAGCAAAAAGAGAAGAAACAATAAGTGTTGATGAGGATATGGAGGAAAGGGAACACATGTACAGTGTTGGTGGGATTATAAATTTGTATGTGGGATTGTAAATTGGTACAGCCACTATGGAAAACAGTCTGGCGGTTCCTTTAAAAATTAAGAATAGAACTACCATATGATCTAGAAATTCCTCTTCTGGGTATTTATATGAAGATATATGTACCCCTATTTCATTGCAGCACTATTTGCAATAGCCAAGATACAGAAACAACCTAGGTGTCCATTGATAGATGAATGGATAAAGAAGATGTGGTATGTATACACAATGGAATAGTTAGTATTCAGCCATAAAAAGATGAAATATTGCCATTTGCAATATCATGGATGGATCTTGAAGGTGTTATGCTAAGTGAACTAAATCAGATAGAAAAAGACAAAAACTGTATTATTTCACTTATATGTGGAATATAAAAAAAAGTAACAAACAAAACTGAAAAACAAAATAAAACAAAAACTTGTAGATACAGACAGAAGGGTGCTTACTAGAAGAGAGACGGAGTAGGGGGAGAGCAGATTGGGTAAAAGGGGTCAAATATATGGTAACAGAAGGAAATTAGACTTTTGATGGTGATCATGCGATAGACTACACATATTGAATGATAATGTTATACACCTGGAATTTATATAATGTTATTAACCATTGTTACCACAATAAATTTAAAATTTTGAAACATCTGCTTTTATTGTCCATCATGTTATACAGAAATCTAGAAATAATAGGTCTGTAGAGATCTACTTACTCTAAGAATTTTTACATCATAATTTACTGTAGTCATCACTTCTAGTTTGTGGAATAAAAATATTTGCCTGCCTGTGAGCTCAGTTTGAAAAGTTATTTGTATACCAAAT